TGTAGAAAATGCCACTGGAATTTTGATAGGGATTGCATTAAATCTATAAATGGCTTTGCGTAGTAGGGATATTTTAATAATGTTATTCTTTCAATCCATGAACACGGGATGTCTTTCCATTTATTTGTGTCTTCAATTTCTTTTATCAATGTTATGTAATTTTCAGTGTGGAGATCTTTAACCTCCTTGGTTAAATTTATTTCTAAGTATTTCATATTGTTTTCCATACTATTGTAAATGGAATTGTTTTCTTTATTTCTTTTTAGATAAGTTATTGTTAGTGTATAGGAATGCTACTGAATTTGTATGTTAATTTTGTATGCTGCAACTTTATTGAATTTGTTTATTAGATTGAATAGTTTTTTGGTGGATTCTTTAGAATTTTATCTATATAAAATCATGTCATCTTCAAGTAGAAACTGTTTTACTTCTTCTTCTTATTTGTTCTAGTGCCTTTTATTTCTTTTTTCTACCTGATTGCTTTGGCTAGGAATTTCTGTTCTGTGTTGAGTAAGAATGGGCACCCTTGTCTTGTTTTTGATCTTAGAAAAAAAGCTTTCATTGTTTTTCCATTGAGTATGATGTTAGCTCTAGGCTTGTCATGTATGGCTTTTATTATATTGAGGTATGTTCTGTACCCATTTTATTAAGAGTTTTTATCATGAACAGGTTGAGTTCTGTCAAATGTTTTTTCTGTGTCTTTTGAAATAATCATAGGATATTTTTCTGTCATTGTATTAATGTGGTGTATCACATTTACTGATTTGTCTACATTAAACCATTCTTGCATCCAGAAGAAAAAAAAAGAAAGGGGAGTCCATGTCTCTGAAGGAAGGACCCCCTCCATACTGCCAAAAATATATACTGCAAATCTTTCTGCCATGATTTACCAAAGAGACATATGGCCTTTTAACAGGCTGATTGTGCATGAGGGGGAAAATAATCAAACCTTTCAGGGAGTATTGAGCACTGCTTCTGGATTGACACTAATTCCAGAAGACTCAAAGTGTTTCTGGGGTCTACCAGTCAGAGTGGTGGTTTATGTAGGTCAGGTGATCAATGGAGTTTTAGATCAGGTCTGTTTCACAAGGGGTCCATTAAGTATCTAAACTCATCCAATGGTAATTTCCCCAATTCCAGAATGTATAATTGGAATAGATATGCTCAGTAACTGGCAGAATGCCCACATTGCTTCCCTGGCCTGTGGGGTGAAAGATATTATGGTGAGAAAGGCCAAGTGGAAACCACTAGAATTTCCTTTACCTAAGAAAATAGTAAACCAAAGGCAATACCACATTCCTGGAGGGATTTCTGAGTCTAGTGATGCCATTTAGAACCAGAAACATGCAGAGATGGTGATTCCCACTACATCCTCATTCAACTCGCTTATTTAGCCTGTGTAGAAAACAGATGGATCTTGGAGGATGACAGTAGTTTATTATAAACTTAGCCAGGCAGTGACTCTAATTGCAGCTACTATTGTAGATGTGATTTTATTACTTGAGCAAATGAACACATACCCTGGTACTTGTTATGCAGCTATTGATCTTGCAAATGCTTTTTCTCATTAACTGTTTGTATAACCACCAAAAGCAGTTTGCTTTGAGCTGGCAAGGCCAGTAATACTTACATCTTCACTGTCCTACATCAGAGATATATCAACTCCCCAGCCCTATGTCATAATTTAGTTTGTGAAGATCTTGATCAATCTTCCCTTCTACAAGACATCTCAAAGTTCTATTACACTAATGATGATAAGCTGATTGGACCTAGTGAGCAAGAAGTAGCAACTACTCTAGAATTCACAGCTTCCCTGAGTGTCCCTGGGCTCCAGCTTGAAGCTCAGTAATTTTCATGCAGTTTCCTGAGGCGAAGTCTTTTCCAAAAGCACTTCTATTCCCAGCCCATTATTTTTTTAAATATATTTTTATTGATTTCAGAGAGAGGAAGGGAGAAACATCAATGAGAGAGAATCACTGATTGACTGCCTCCAGCACGCCCCCTACTGGGGATTGAATCCCCAACCTGGAATCGAACCTGGGACCCTTCAGTCTGCAGGCCGACACTCTATCCACTGAGCCAAACCAGCTAGGGCCCAGCCCATTATTTGCAACCTGGAGCCAACCTGCCGTCACTCATCATCATAACAGGGCCCAATAGAAAGGGAGATTATTAAGGGAATCTGAGGGTAAACCTTCAACAGGAAACCAGTTGGACCCAAGAAGATAAAAGGATGGTTTAAACTAGAAGGGGTTTTTGACACCATGCCCACGAGCAAAAATGTGTGTAGGTGATTGTATGTGGAGGGTATGGAGAGAGGGTCCTTGCCAGTACACACTTTACCCTGTAGATCTTCTGATGTACTTCATTCCTCTTTCACTCTCTACCTTTCCCAGATACTCCTATTCCTCATTTCTGGATAAGCTAAACTGGGGAGACCTGGGGGCACTGAACTCAAAGCCTCAGTGCCAAACTGTTTTATCCATGTTCGCCATTAAGACCCAGCTCTGCAGATGAGACCAGACTGCTGACCTTAATATAGCAACAGCTAACAATTTTAAGCACTACCTTCCAGAAGTGTGATCAAAATAGACAGGCTACTCTCCCTCTAATCCTCAAAATAATCCTGGAAGCCATTTTACCAAGGGGAAAATTGAGTCCCAAGGAGGAACAGTAACTTGCCAAAAGTCACACAGCTAGTGGGCAGCCAGCAGAGACAGGACTTGAACCCCTTTGATCTAACTCCAGAGCTAACACTAACTATTGCAGCAGCAACTCTGACTCTCCATGGAAACAGGCACCCTTCACTATTCACTCTGTGTGCTTGGTGGGAAATCTGGAAAATGAAAGTTCCAGACTAAACTATAAAATGTCACTTGGCCATGTAAGGTCTACTCAAGGCAATCAAGACAATCTGAGTGGGGAAGTAAGAGTCTGTGATGTCACAGGCTTTGGGCCCAACCAACCACAGGTGAAACCTCTCTCTCCCTCATCTATTCCCTCAGTCTCACAAGCTCTCTCTGCACATACTCTAAGAGTCACAGCTTCTTTACAGCTCTGCACCCTGCTATGGCTCTCCTGGGACAGGAAGGTCAGAAACTGCTCCAACATCAGAAGCTCTAAGATTTGCTTCATTGTGTGCATCTCAGGCCAAAGCCACCGACCCACGGCAAAGCTCCAGGAGCCACCTAAGGGTTTCTCCAGGGGCCAACGTCAGAACCCACAGAAGTGCAGATAGGAAGCCTTCATGCTGGACCTTTGGTCAGCAGAAACAGCTCTTGGCTCCAGGTGCAGGAATATCTTCAGTTTCACAATCAGGAGCCCTTTTTGCTTCTGGGAGCCCAGGTCAGGCCATTGTCAGACTCCTGGACCATTTTGGCCTTGAAATCAACCTCAACTGCAGGCTAAGTTTCCCCTAGCACTTCTTGCAACAATAAACAGCATGTGCAGGAATCAGCGTTGCCGAGGCTTCATGTCCCAGCCCATAAACCCAACTCTATCCCTGGTGGAGCTGTTTCCAATACTTTGGTTTCTGTGGGTTCAGAGAGGTGATGCACCTGCCATGGAAAGATACAATGGCAGACAGCTCTCTACTCTCTGTCTCAAACCCATGCAGGACTGGATGCTGCTCTCACACAGGAAGTACCAGAAATAAAGTTTGGTGTCCAAAAACCAATAGTACCGGCTCCAAACCAAAGTGATGACAACTTTACCAAATGACAACATAGCATCTGACTGCCCTAAAACTCACCACTGACCACCCAGGCAGAAAAATCTGACTCCAGGAGTGGGACCAGCAAGGAACCAATTGGAAGACAATAGAGGTGGGGCATCAGGCAAACCTCAAAACCTACGAACCCTCTGGTGGTAGCTGAAAGGTGAGAGGAATAGAAGGGTTAGGTAGGTGGAAGCTCTGGTCTTTAAGAGAAGAAAATACAAAGTTAGATCAAGGCCATTATGAGCTATGAGCCAAAGAATAGAGTCACAAAGAAAACTTATTAAAATGGGAATTCTAGCCCTGGCTGTTGTGGCTCGGTTGGTTGGAGTGTCATCCAGTACTGTGAATTCTAGAGCTATGGTGAGATCCAGTGCCTCAGAGTGTTGGGATGGGTCCCAGAAATATAATTTTTTAACGAACTCTCCCTAGAAATTCATCCTACATATAGAGGTTTGAGAATCACTGGCTACATCATAACAGATTTACAGGAGGGAAATGTGGACTCCAAGAAGGAATTTATCCGCTGAGATGAACTTCCCATGGTCAACCCAGGGCCCAAATTTAATAAATAATAATTGCTTACCAGCTATTTGCTGACAGGGGCTTCCCCAGGGGAGTTCAGACTGAACTCTGAGCTTCCGGCACATTGCCTGGTTTGTTTATGCCATCTCAGTCAACCACTACAGGGAAACACTGGTTTCCTCTTTCCTCCGTTGGACTGAGAACTGCCCTATCCATTCAGAACTTCATATTTGGATACTTCATTTACATAAAGCAGACATAATTGAGAACCTGAGCAAGAACTTGCACTATAAAAGACAGCCTCCCCTTTGCCTCAGTGGAGCAAAATAGAAGTTGCTACCTACATCTGTGTCTCCTGAGCTGCAGCTCCTTTTGGGGCAAATAAAAGCCTTTTATTCTTTATTACACTCTAAAATTTATTTTGGTTTACATTCCCAACCGCTCCTAGTATTCTTGAGCTGATGGGAGAGAAGCCCTGGCTAGGATCAAGAACGTGACAGGCCCCACCCAACCCCCTGGGACTTAGAAGCCTCTAAGACCGGAAATGGAATCCCTTCCAAAGAAAAGCTCCAGCCCCTCTAACGTCAGCAATCTTCTTTCCAGCCCCCCACCCGCAGGGAAGGGTAGCCTGCGGCCTGCTGGGAGTTGCAGTCCGCTGCGTGGCCCCACGCCTGCGCACTGGGTACTGCACCAAGCGAGCTGGGAGAGCCGTGGGCGCCCAGGCGGTGAGTCCGGGTGCGTCCGGAGGGCGTGGCTGTCCCTGGGGCGCGGGGAGTGGGGCTCCCTTCCCGTTTAGGCTACAAATATTTGCAGCCTCCAGGCCTGACCTGGTGGCGGGCCCCTGTCCCGCCTGGGTCCCCGCTGCCGTTCCTTGAAACCCGGCCGGGCCTTCCCGGGGGTCCTCTGGGGCTGGCGTCGTCGCCCCTCCAGGAAGCGAGACATCTACGCCTGGAAGAGCGCTGGGGCCGCGCCCTTGCCACCAGCATTCGATTTTAAACCGGCTTTTAGACATTTAGGGATTTGTCCTCCTATCATTTCCCCTAGTGCCCTCTTTTCACGACTCCCAGTGCCTCTTTCCGCACACCTCTCTATCCACGGCCCGGTGAGCGCGGGCTCATTCCGGACGGTTTGGAGAGAAGCCATCAGCCCCGAGGGGAAGTGGAGTTTTCATCCGGAAGGGCCGATGGGAGGAAACCCGGAGGGTCAATTCCGTGGGAGACGTGGGGTAAGGTTTGGGTCAGTAAGGGAAGAGCTGCCTAGCTGTGAGGCTGGAGTACACGAAAGGTGGGTCCCCAGACTAAACCGTCAGGGTTCCTGGATGCCCTCCAGCGACCCTTAGGTACCTACACGGGGGAATAGAAGCTTTCTAGCAACGAGTTCTCGCGAGCAGAGCTGTCTCTGGGCCGGGCATATTGCTGTTCCCTTTCCATCCAATTGGATCCCTCAAAAGCAATTTTATGAAGAGGATGCTACAAAGAGGCGCTGGGTGTCATTTAAGAAACTAGCCCAGGGATGAAATGGAAACAGAGTGAAGCTTTTGAATGACCAGGCAGGAAGAGATTCGGGGTTTTGTTTGTTTTTGTTTTTTGTTTTCCCCTTGACCGTGTCCGGGAAAGAAGACAGGTATGTGAGCTGTGGGTAAATTCAGAGAGGACCTATAGCACATGGGCAGGTACCAGTCTTCACACCTTTGGAGACATGTATGGTACCGCCTATCTGACCTTGGAGATTGCACTAAGGACATTTGGATGTTTTTAGACATGAGCATTGCAGGAGTCTATAGTTTCTAACCTCATCACCATTTCTCTCTGGCATTTGCTATCGGTCCTGGGACATGTTATTCAGTTCTCCGAAGCCTCAAACCTCAGTGCCCACATCTGTATTCAGGGTATAATACTAGTACCCACCTCCTAACATTGGGTGAGAACTAAATGAATTTACACACACACACACACACACACACACACACACATATGGCTTGGAACAGCACCTGGCACTTAGCATGTTGAACATGATAACTGCCCTTCATTATTAATGCAGACCAGATTTCCTGATGGCCTGCCCTGTGTAGTGTATTTTTCTCATGAGAAAGCCACTTGGAATGCATTGCATGATGTGATTCATGGTGATGTTGGCTGAACTACACATACCTGAAGTGGAGAAGAATGAGGGATTGATGAGTTGCTGCCTTTGCAAGGCATGGCTCTCCCTAAGATGCCGGTGATTGAAGGTGACTGAGGGTTACTCAAAGCTAGGTGAACTTTCAGGTTTACTCACCTCTATTGTAAGTACTGCTCCCTCGTATTTCTTCTTTGGCTTACTTATATTCAGAAACACAAGAAAATTGTTATTAGACTATGAGTGGAGATATAGGCCACCAGATGTATAGGGGTTAATTTAAGGGAAGAGATTCTTAGCTCTGGGTCCAGGAATTCTAGAAAAGAGCTGTTCAATAGAACTTCCTGCAACAGTGTCTACTAAGCATTTGAAATGTGAATAATATGAATAGGAAATTGAATTTTTATATTTAAATAATTTAAACTTAAACTGCCACATGAGACTATAGTCTACCATATTGGACAGAACAATTCTAGAGGGCCCATGGATGGTCTTGAAGTTTTAGTGAACTTTTTGAAACTGGATGTAGAATTTGAAGTGTTATGTGTATTTTTCTGGGAAGTGAGTCCATTGCTTTCATCAGATTTTCAAAACCAATGAAACTATTACAATCTGCTACTTTAGAGCTTTGCTGAAAAGCAAGCAATTAAGGGAGATAAGAATGCCCTGTTAACCACTGCTCTTTCTCCTTTCTCATTTGACCTTTCCTCAGCTTTAGATCCTCCACTCAAGAAATATACAAAGAAACAAATTGGAGTCTGAGACTTTAGGCCCAGATAAATTGGACACTGCAGGAAGGGGGCAATGGCTGTTGCCCTGGGTTGTGCAATCCAGGCCTCCTTGAATCAGGGCTCAGTGTTTCAAGAGTATGATACTGACTCTGAAGTCTTCCGTCAGCGCTTTAGGCAGTTCCAGTACAAAGAAGCAGCCGGGCCTCATGAAGCTTTCAACAAACTTTGGGAGCTTTGCTGTCAATGGCTGAAGCCAAAGCTGCGTTCTAAGGAGCAAATCCTGGAGCTTCTAGTGTTGGAGCAATTCCTAACAATTTTGCCCACAGAGATAGAGACCTGGGTGAGGGAACATTGCCCAGATAATAGAGAAAGAGTTGTGTCACTGATAGAAGACTTACAGAGAGAACTTGAGATACCAGAGCCACAGGTAAGAAAAGAGTTTGGGATCTGGGTAATCATACTAAAAGAAGTAGCAGACACATCTGGTACTAGATCAGCCATTTTGTCTTTTTGTCCTAGGACCTCCCTGCAGTGATTTTTATATTTTCCTTTTGTTGGAATCAGCAAATGGGTTAGTGATTCTCAACTGTTAAACCAAACTCCTTAAATATTTGGTTGTGCCTCTTTTACTGCCCTATAGATAGTATAATCTACTTATATACACAAAATCAAAACCATCATATAATAAGTGCTCTGTGGTTTGTGAGCCAAAAACAGCCCAAGGCCTGTTTTTATACAGCCCATGAGCTAATAACGGTTATTACTTTTTTAAAGTGTTGTTTTTTTTAAAAAAGAATAGGCAACAGACCAACACAACCCAGAAAGCCTAAAATATTTACTATCTGGTTCTTTCCAAAAAGGTCTGTCAACCATAAGTCAAGTAGGGTTTAGAAGTAATATAAAAGAAAAGGAACATAGTGTCTTATAAACTAATGGACATTTCAGCATTCACATGTCTGGGCTTGAGCGTACCAGAAAACCTCATGAAGTCAGATGCTTGCCTCACTGCACAGATTCGCTGTGAAGGCAACAAGCAGAAATTCAGACCAATATAACTCAAACACTATGAATGGTGTTGCTGCTGGTCATGTGATTTTCCAAAGTGACAAACGACTTTGGTGAATCTGAACAATTAGTATAGTATTTCTTTGATTTTCAAATTATTGCTTTCCTAGAAAAGTTTAGTCAAGCTAAAATTTGCAAAAATATTTTGTGATTATATGACCAGCAAGGTGAGGTTCTTGACAGGTTCTTTTTACCTATACGAATATTTGAGCGGGGCACTCCAATGTTGGTAAGGACCTGGAACAATTCTGCACTGTGTGCATTATCTATACTCCCATCTCTGCCCACTAACATCAATGATGAGAGAGACTGCCTCCTACATGCCCCCCTATTGGGGATTGAGCCTGCAACCTGGGCATGTGCCCTTGACTGGAATCAAACCCAGGACCCTTCATTCCACAGGCCAATGCTCTATATACTGAGCCAAACCAGCTAGGGCTATTGTGTTGATTCCTGTATGTGCCTTGACCAGGCATCAAACCCGCAACCTTGGTGTATTGGGACAACACTCTAACTGAGCTACCTGGCATTATCTATACTCCCACCTCTGCCCACTAAATTCTGATAGCCACCACCTACTACAATATCTAAAATATCTCCTGGGGGTGCTGGCCCTACCCTCTTTCAGAACCACCTAGTAAAACCTGTTTGGGGCTTGCTATAGCTCAGTGATGGCGAACCTTTTGAGCTCGGTGTGTCAGCATTTTGAAAAACCTAACTTTAACTCTGGTGCCGTGTCACATATAGAAATTTTTTGATATTTGCAACCATAGTAAAACAAAGACTTATATTTTTGATATTTATATTATATACTTAAATGCCATTTAACAAAGAAAAATCAACCAAAAAAATGAGTTCGCGTGTCACCTCTGACACGCGTGTCATAGGTTCGCCGTCACTGCTATAGCTGAACACGGCAGCGTCTTTGGAGAAGGGAGAAAGTGCTTCTAGTTAGGCATTAGTGGCACGGGAGTCTTGTGTGTTGATGGGGCTCTGTAGTTAGCCTGCATGAACAGGATTCTTCCAAAGTTTCCTGACCCTAGGATAGAATTGTTTATAGTTTCCCTTCCTTTCTGTGTCTCCTTGTTTGGCTTACCACATGAAATTTTGTCTTCATGCAGTCTAATCCTGCATTGCCAGTATGATAGGCACCAGCCAAAGGTGGTTCTTGAGCTCTAGAAATTTGGCTAGTCCAAATTGGGATATGCTGTAAGTATAAAATGCACACCACTTTCAGAAGACTTAAGGTGAAAAATAAAGTAGGTGAAATATATTATTAATAATTCATACTGATTACATGATGAAATTGTGTTATTTTATATATGTATATTTTGTTAATGCATATTATTATATTATTATTTCTTTTATTTTTTTTCATATGATCACTGGAAAATTTAAAATGACTTTGTTGACTTGCATTATATTGCTCCTGGGCACTGATGGTCTAGATATTAGAGTGATGGGTTCTGGCATTTTCCCCAGATTGATAGGCAGGAAATACTCTTGGAAGACCTCGCAGCAGTTGGAATGGCAGACATACCACCAAACATCCACGTGGAAGTACCCGCACTCCAAGCAATGGGACCTGTCCCCGAGGCCCCAGTCGCAGATGCGTGGATCCCACAGGAGCTGAGCTACGGTGCTGCTGGGGAAGGCCAGTCCTTTCTGGACCCTGGTAAGCCAAAGATTTTATTTCCTTTCCTTGATTTCTTTTTGAGAACTCAGGAGCTATCCAGGGTTTGGTTTGGTTAGAAACACGGAATAAGGGATGAAAATGGATAAAGAGTAAGTGTGGAAACGTCTCTCTGGGAATAGCCAGCCACAAAACACGTTAGATTGATCGGGATTCAAGAAGTTTATTTTTCACTTTTTTTAGTGCAATAAAGATAATCATATATTAACTTCTTACCCATTTTTGCATGTACACTTCAGTGGTAATGAATATATTTATAATGTTGCGAAACCATCACCATTACCCATGTCTACAACTATTTTCATCTTGTAAAACTGAAACTTTGTACCCATTTACACAATAACTTCTCATTTCCACCTCCCCCCCCAATCCCTGAACGACCATTTAAATTTTTGTCTCTATGAATTTGACTACTCTATGTACCTCATATAAATGGAATCATATAGTATTTGTCTTTTAGAGACTGGCTCATTTCACTTAGTGTAATGTCCTCAAGGTTCATTCATGTTGTAGTATATGTCAGAATTTCTGTTCTTTTAAAAGTTGAATAATATTCCATTGTGCATATATATTGTATTTAATATATCCATATTTTCATAAATGTATATTGGGTTGCTTCTTTGTTTTTGCTGTCATGAGTAATGCTTCCCTGAGTAGGGGTGTAAATCTCTTTGAGACCCTGCCTTTACTTCTTTTGGGTATATAAGCAGAAGTGGAATTGCTTGATCATATGGTTATTCTATTTTTAAACTTTTGAGGAACCATCATACTGTTTTCCACAGTGGATGTACCATTTTACATTCCCACTAACAATGCACAAGCTTTCCAATTTCTCCACATTCTTGCTAACACTTGTTATTTTCTGGTTGTTGGTTGTTTTTTTTATAGTAGCATTCCTATGGGTGTCAGGTGGTATCTCATTGTAGTTTTGTGGTTTTTTTAATCCTCACCCGAGCATATGTTTTTTTTTTATTGACTTTTAGAGAGAGAAAGGGAGAAAGAGAGAAACATTGATGTGAGAAACGTCTATCAGTTGCCTTCCTTACACGCCCGACCGGGTATCAAACTCACAACCTACGTATGTGCCCTATCTGGGAATCGAACCCGCAACCTTTTATTTTTTTAAAAAAATTTTTAAATATATTTTTATTGATTTTAGAGAGGTAGGGGGAGGGAGAGAGAGATAGAAACAACAATGATGAGAGAGAATCATTGATTGGCTGCCTCCTGCATGCCCCACACTGGGGATCGAGCCTGCAAGCCAGGCATGTGCCCTTGACCGGAATCGAACCTGGGACCCTTCAGTCCGCAGGCCGATGCTCTATCCACCGAGCCAAACCAGCTGGGGCAACCCGCAACCTTTTAGTGTATGGGACAATGCTCCAACAAACTGAACCACATGGCCAGGGCTAATTATAGTTTTGATTTGCATTTTCTAAATGATTAGTGACGTTGAACATCTTTTCATGTGATTTTTGACCATGGATATATTTTTTCTTTTTTTCTTTTTTTTTTTTACCAGTCTGGATGAACACACTTTATTTAGTTTTTGTTGTTTTACATTTTTTATTGAATTTATTGGTGTGACATTGGTTAATAAAATTACATAGGTTTCAAGTGTACAATTCTATACGACATCATCTTTACATTGTATTGTGTGCACAACCCAAAGTCAAGTCTCCTTCCATCACCATTTATCTGCCCTTTACCCTCTTCTACTCTCCCCATCCCCCTTTCCTTCTGGTAATCACCATACTGTGGTCTGTGTCTGTGAGTTTTTAGGTGTTTTTTTGTTTTTGTTTTTTGCTTAAGAATGTCTATTCAGTCCTTTGCACATTTTTAAATTGGGTTGTTTGGCTTTCTTTGTTGAATTTTAAAGTTCTCTGTATTATGGGTATTAATCCCTTATCAAATATATGATTTGTAAATACTTTTTGCATTCTGTGGGCTTTTTTACTCTGTTGACACTGTCTTTAGATGAACAAATGTTTAAATTTTTCATGAAGTACTATGTCTACTTTTTATTTTATTGCCTATGCTTTTCTTGTCATATCCAAGAAAACATTGCCAAATGAAATGCCATTAAACTTTTGCCTTATGTTCTTCTAAGGTCTTACTTTTAGGTCTTTGATCCATATTGAGCTAATTTTTGTATATGGTGTTAGGTAAAAGTCCAACTGTGTGTGTGTGTGTGTGTGTGTGTGTGTGTGTGTGTGTGCATATTCAGTTTTCCAGCACCATTTCTTGGAAAGATTGTCTTTTCTCCATTTAATGATCTTGGTATCTTTGTTAAAAGTCATTTGACCATATATTTGATGGTTTCCTTCTGGGCTCTCTATTCTGTTACATTTGTCTGTATGTCTAACTTTATGTCAGTACCAAACTGTTTTGATTACTGTAACTTTGTAGTAAATTTTTGAAATCAGGAAATGTGAATCCTCTAATTTTGTTCTTTCTTTTCAATATTGTTTTGTCTATTTGAGGTCCCTGGAGGTTCCATATGAATTTTAAAATGGGTTTTTCTTTTTCTGCAAAAAAATGTCACTTGGATTTTGACAGATTACATTGACCCCATAGACCTTTTGGATAGTGTTAACATCTTAACAATATTAAATCTTCTAATCCATGAATGTGGAATGTATTTCCATTTATGTCTTCTTTAATTTCTTTTACCATTGTTTTATAATTTTCATTGTACATTTTTCATCTACTTGTTTAAATTAGTTTCTGTTTTATTCTTTTTGGTGCTGTTATAAATTGAATTGTTTTCATAATTTCCAGAATTGTTCATTGTTAGTGTATAGCAATGGAACTAATTTTTGCATGTTCATTTTGTATCCTGTTATGTTGCTGAATTCATTAGAATAGTTTTTAAATAGAATCATTATGATTTCTATTAGGTCATATAATCTACTAATAGAGATTATTGTACTTCTTCCTTTACATTTTGAGTGCCTTTTACTTCTTTTTCTTGCCTAATTGCTCTGCCTACAACTTCCAGTACTGAGTTTAATAGAAGTGGCCAAAGTGGGCATCCATACCTTCTTCCTAACCTTAAAGAAAAAGCTTTCAGTCTTTCACAATTGAGTATGATGTTCCCTGTGTGTTTTTCATATATGCCTTTTATTATGTGGAGGTAATGTCCTGTTCCTATTTTGTTGAATGTTTTTATCATTAAAGGTGTTGAATTTTGTTTAATGCTTTTTCTGCATCAATAGAGATGATCATGTGGGTTTTTTTCATTATGTTAATGTGGTGCATTACACTGATTGATTTTCATATGTTGAAACATCTTTATATTCCAGGAACAAATACAACTTGGTCATGGTGTATGATCATTTTTTATTTTCAATTACAGTTGACATACAATATTATATTAGTTTTAGGACATTATATAACTTAGCAGGTGTTCATCCTGATAAATCTCATACCTATCTAACATAATAATTTTAGAATATTGACTATATTCCCTATGCTGTACATCACAGTGACTATTCTGTAACAACCAATTTGTACTTCTTAATCCCTTCACCTTTTTCACCCATCTTCTCAGCCTCCCTCCCATCTGGCAACCATCAAAATGTTCTCTGTATCTATGAGTCTATTTCTGTTCTGTTTATTCATTTCATTTATTTTTTAAATTAGGTTGTTGATAGATATGTATTTATTGCTATTTTATTGTTCATATTTTGATCTTTTAAAAAATTCTTCTTTTTAAAGAAGACCCTTTAACATTTCATGTAATACTGGTTTGGTGGTGATGAACTTTAGCTTTTTCTTGTCTAGAAAGCTCTATATATGTCCTTTGATTCTAAGTGATAGCTTTCCGGGTAGAGTAATCTTGGTTGTAGGTCCTTGCTTTTCATCACTGAATATTTCTTGCCAATCGCTTCTAGCCTGCAAAGTTTCTGTTGATAAATCAGCTGACAGTTTTATGGGAGCTCCCTTGTAGGTAACTAACTGCTTATATCTTGCTGCTTTTAAGAATTTCTCTTTGTCTTTAACCTTTTGCATTTTAAGTATGATGTGTCTTGGTGTGGCCCTCCTTCCCTTCCACTCTCTCTGAAAATCAATTGAAAACATATCCTCAGGGGAAGATTAACGAAAAAAGAAAAGAAGCAATGGCCTCTTCCAACACTTCTGTCTGACAGAAAGCTGCCCCCAAACCAGACATTTCATTTCCTCCCAGTATACCCCTATTTCCATTCAAGATGCTGCCTCAGAGGGGGTGAGTCCCAGTAAATCTGTGTGTAGGCCCCTTAGGAGGAACTGCCTGGGACTCCATCATCCCTCCATCTCAGCCACAATCTCCACTGGTTTTTACAGCCAGAAGTTATGGGGTCTCCTTTGCCTGGGTCTGGAACCCCTAGGCTTGGAGGCCTGGTGTGGGGCTGAGACCCCTTGCTCCTCAGGGAGGACCTCTGCAGCTGAGATATCCCTCCCAGTTTTAAAGTGCCACACGTGGGTGTGGGAGCAGCCCATTCCTTGTCTCTGCCCCTCATACCAACCAGTCTCGATGTGGCTTCTTTAAATCCCTAGTTATAAGACTTCCATTCAGCTAGATTTTAGGTAGTTCTGACTGATGGTTGTTCTGTAGTTGTTATAATTTTGATGTGGTTGTGGGAGGATTTGAGTTCCGTATTTACCTATGTTGTCATCCTGACTGGAAATCTGTATATTCCTTTAAATATACTGCTGAGCCATGCACGGCCGGGCATGGCTCAGTGGTTGAGCATCAACCTATGAACAAGAAGTCACAGTTTGATTCCTGGTCAGGGCACATGCTCAGGTTGCGGGCTCCATCCCCAGTGTGGGGCGTGCAGGAGGCAGTCGATCAATGATTCCTTCTCATTGATGTTTCTACCTCTCCCTCTCCCTTCCTCTCTGAAATCAATCAAGAAAAATAATATATAATATACTATATATGATTGGCTTTACTGCTGAATTCAATTTGCTAATATTTTATTCAGGATTTTTGCATC